ACACACACACACACACACACACACACACACACACACACACACACACATCTCGCCAGCAAAAGGGGATCCCTAACCTAGTTTACTTGGGGGGTAAATCCTGCCGTTCTAAAAAAAAAAAGGCTCCGGGGAGGCATTATTAAGTTGGCCTACATTACACTGGCTGTATTTCTTTGTAATGATCTTCTAATATCCTCTATTGTACATTATATACTGACCCACATTATTCTGGATCACCGCTATGAATAAATAGAGAAAACTTTTGCATGAGCAACTTATGTCCAAACACTCACACATCTCAGCGCTGTTCTCCTCTTCTGCCGCTGTGACGCCAGGTTTCTCGTACGATTTGTCGATTGCAGCCCGGAAGCTCTCATTGCAGCCGCGGCCCCTGGCGATGTGCGAGCGCGCCCTCTTAACGTTGATGTCGCCGTTCAGCGTGGCCTCGGCGACGGCCGTCTGGAGGCTTTCAAGGGAGCTGGACTTTGTCAGGCCCAGCGAGGGTCCAAGGATCTGTTCTGCGGCACCTGTGGGAAGAGGAAGTGGCGTCAGTGAGGCCCGCAGACCATTAGCGCGTGACTCTAACTCCCCCAAAAGGCGACCCCGAAGCCATCATCTCCGAGCTGATTGCGTGTCGATGAATTCACGTGTTGCTGGTTTCATATGGGATGAAGGTGTGAGACTGGCAATTAACATGAAAAACAAAGGATGCCATTGCCTGGCCAATGAAGTGTGTGGAATGAGAACAGAGTATTATATCTTCACTGAGACACTTTCCCGTTGAGAATTATAATTCAAGCTTTGTCCCCGTGTCTGCACGGTTAAATTACATGGCTGAAACATAATGCATATAAATGGGGCAATATCAAAGACAGCAATGTACCGCAGCACCACAGCAATCGCAGTGTTATACCAAACTATTATAAGTTCCCCAAATGTTTAGAGAGAGTGTAAACTATTTCCAAAAGTGCTCCTCTCACTGCTCTCTCTCTTTTACTTGTAGTTGCTCTGAGAGTAAAACAGAAAGAGATGGCATTTAGACTAAGCATATCTAAGTCCATTCTCTTGTGTTCACAAGCCCATATAGCACAAACAATATATCTCAAAGCTGCAATCTTTTTGCTCGGTTCCTAAGGCCTCCGCGTGTGTAGATGTTAGATAGCAGGTGATAGCACACCATGAGGGCAGAACAAGGCTCTGTCATCGGCCTTATGTTGATTAGCCTGCGAGGAGAAAACCACCAGAACATTAGTCGACACAGGCCGCCTGCAGAACAAAGCGAGAAACCCATGGCACCTTTCCAACACATTGCAATCATATCAACTGCACATAGCAACACTATACACACTTTAGTATGAGCATGAGGGGCTGTTATGGCTTGAAATAGGTTTGCGAAGGAGCTAATTGGAGTAGCTCACATATATCATACTTGTAAGACAAAGTATCTCCTCAGAAGGACAGACACGGAGCTGATGGATCAGCTGGTAGACCAGCTGTGTGGAAAGCAAAGTGAATGCTGAACAGTCAACCTCTTCAACACTGTTGCCAGGCCCCGGACTGCTTGTAATTATTTTTCCGATTCTTGCCAGGGGTTTGTTTAGGGTATGTAAGTGGAGCGCATCGCAGGTATTGGTATTTCATTTTGTCAAGGAGCGTCCGTCAGTTCCCCCGGAGCTCTTAGCTTACCCGCCGCTTGGTAAACAAGCAGCCTGGTTGATTTTCTGTCCCCTTTATTCTGCCTCGACTCAGCGCGCGCAGCAAGTGGCTGTCGAAGGTAACAAGATGGATTTCTGAGTATGTGCAGGTGAGGCCTTGTTGGGGCGTAAACGTCTGCGGAGGAAACCATCAGTAATAATGGATAAACTGTTGATTCAATTACTCCGGCGGCCTCGCTGACTGTCTGAGGGCGCAGCACATGTCGTTGGAGTCTGGACAGAGCCGCATTGTATCTTTACGACTCCCCGTAGGCCATGTAGACCCTCCGCATGCAGCCAGTGTGTGCTAGTGTTTCCACTGTGGCTTCGTGTGGTGTAAATAAACGTCTCCTGCAGCTCTTCCTGTTGGGTTTTCGTTGCACATTTTGCTATACGGTCTTGTCTTTACCCCTTACGGAATAGAACACACACATTCAGACAGCGGGTGTATATGTTTGCATGTGTGTGGGACTCCGCAATAAGGCCCATTGACACAAACTGCACACACTTCAATGTAAGCTACCGTCAACAAGATCCTCCGCGTGTTTAAAGTGGCCTAAATGAGATGTGACCCACCGCTGCTGGGCTGCCACAGCGGGTCTTTGGATGGAGGGCTGCAAAGCCAAACACAGATTAGGCAAAGAAAACAAACCTCCATCACTGAAAGAAAACACTTTGTGACCGTTGTTTGGAGTACTCCCCTCTGAAATACATTTGTTTTAGGGTATGAGAGACGGAGGCAGGATGGGAAGAAACATGTGGCTGTGTGGATACACAAAGGTTGCAAAAGCAGGGTGTGAATGAGTTAAGGGCTTAAGAAGGAAGAGGGTAAACTAGCCGCAGCATGCACAAATGCATACAAGCTGCCGCGGTTATCACAATTTCACCAGTGGCGGCGGGTCTCTTGTGTTGGCCGAACCCCTTTGCTATTCTGTTCTTGATCCTTTAATCAAGCAAACCTGCAGCAGCTCAGCCGTGATTAGCCAGCTATCTGCGTTTCACAGTTCAAACACAGTATGTAGCCAGCTCCTTGCAGAGGACAAACGTAGGGAAGAGCAGAGATTGATTTCTTATTTCAATCATCTTGTCATTTTAAGGAAACTGAAAGTTTTTAATACTACTTCCTGGATCGTCAGGGTCAAAAGGACAACCCTCTTCCTGCCACGTTTGCCAGCAGTGCACCTTTACTGAGAGTGTGAGTGCTTCTCTATCATCCGTGGTGGCTATACATCTGGTGTCAAAGAAGGCGGATAGGCTAAAAGGTCAGCTGTTAGCCTGTGGTGTTGGGTTTCCAGACTGGTAAACGGACAGTTGTGTCTTTAACGCACCATTTTACCTTCCTTTTTGTTAATGTTAATACAATTGCCAAATCCCAAGAGAACCTGGACTCAATCCTGGAAGTGCCATTCGAAATAAATGAACACCAATCCTATAATGCTGCATCCCATTTAGTGGGAAGAGCCTTCAGGCTGCATTGGACAGTAAAATGAAACTTTACTGTGTGCTACAAATATCCAGGGGGTTAAAAGCTCTCTGGCTGCGGGACAAGAGGATTCATTTTACTGTTTAGTTCCTCCGAAGAGGTGGGCCATTTCTGATTACTACGACAAATTTTAATGACAGGAAAGCACGAATAGCCTTGCAAGACCCGGCGAACGCAAGTAAAACTCATGTAATTCATTTGTTCAGAGGGAGTAATCTCATCACGGGAAGGACAAGAGAGGACAGTCTAAAGAGAAAAAACACATTATGTGGAAACATAGGCGCTGATTCAAGGTAGCAGGAAAATGCAGTCATTTTTCTCATACTTTGTGGATAAAACTCAATCAACCCAGCGCAAATGCCATGTCAATTTCAGTTTTTTGGAAGCTTACGTGTAAATCCTGCCAACAGTGGACACGCAGAAGCCAGGGTGCATGTTTGGCACAATGGGATTGTAAGTTAGAGCCGCAGAGGATGCAACAGTTCAAGGGAACACAAATGACATCTGCTGTAATCGGGAACGGGGAATAATCCTCCCACTCGGTATTCCGCGCCGCGAATCCCGCCGCCATTGTTTCTAGGCGCCGCAGCGAGCGACTGAGAGGAGCGGAGAGACAAAGAGAACGGGCGAGCGAGGCAAAGGGAGGGAGTTTGCCCATAGACCCCGGCTGCCTCGAACCTGCCTTTGTTTTCCCCAGAAGCCGTCGCGGCTCTCCTGGGAGAGTTTGACGGACAGCTCTCTGTATGCCAGTCTATTATGTGATTCCTATCACACAACAGAAGCCTCGGTGCTCTGCTCCTCATCTCCCTCTTATTCAGAGGGATGAAAATACATATTCCCCCATCGCATGCAGACACAAGTTTGTCACTCCCCACACGTCTGGAGGACAAATGAAAATCATCAAAATGAAATACACAAAAAAAGGAAAAAGACAATCAAACCAAATAGGGGGAGAGTGCACCTGGAATTTTGTCATGGCCGACGTGCTGTGTTCCTTAGCCAGATTAAGGGCAAAGACAGTTAATTGGAGAAGATCCATTGCCATTAAACGTTAAAGGGGAGGTATGGCAAACTCCATGAATAAATCAGCAGCGGTTATTACAGGAACAGGAGCCCATAGTATAATTAGAGCAGCTAAAACTATGCTCTCCAGCCATTATTCACCACGGGCCCTTGCATGTAAAGATCTGTGTACAGACAGGGGCTCCATTACACATAATTTATTCAGAGAGCCAGGGCTTTAAGCAGGGCGGTAAAAGGGTAATTATGTTAAAAATAGCCTCCAAGGTGGTCGGGGGGAAGGCCATGTCCAGGTATCCTAGTGGAAGTGAGGCGTCCCCGGGTCGAACCGGCTCCTATTTATCTGCCAGTTGTGGATCATTAGCCCCAACAGAGGACGTCCTCTGCACACTGTGTCACACAGGAATCACCATTACCCGGACTGGCTAATATCTCAATCAAGGATGCTGGATATGCCGTCCTGTGATTGTGCCGTTTTATCAACCCAATGAAATGATATATTTAAACACGTTCATCGCTCTCCAAGTGAACTTGCTCAATTATCTCAGTTATGAATAAGCAGAGGCTGGCAACTCCCACTGCAAGCCTTGCAACCCAATGGATCTGCAACTGACTGGAGAACAGTGAGCTTCAAGTAGGGGGTCTCTCTTTTACTATCTACCTATCACTGACGGGGCTCCATTAGTCTCTTAATATTTGTTTTGAACAAAATCAAATGGTATATTTCCGCATAAATGTAATGTTGCATACCTGGTATGGTATTCCACATGTGATATATATTTTTCAAATATCCTTGTACACAACAAGCAAAAAGCATGTCAGTTTCCAATGAGAAATCACTCAAAAACGTCCTCTCGTGACCCAGTAGTCAGCTCATTCTGTGTTAATGTCATAGAGCGAATGCACTCCAACACCCTCCAACCGGAGCTCAGCCTAACTATGATGGATCAATTGCAGCCGAGCTGAAGAGGCCAACTGGCAGTGAATGTCTCCATTGCAAAATGCCACTCCATTGCCTGGCTCCCTCCAGCCCGACACAACTCCTGGATTAATGAGTGTTTTCTTCAATCACAATGGCACAGGTCCCCACATTAGTTGCCAAGTCTCTATTCAACGCCATGCAACTCCCCTCTCAGCGATATGAAAAACCTTTTTTAGATCATGCTGCAATTACCTCAAACAAACTCTCTCCTCCATATGCATAGAAAGGTGCCAGGATCACACGGCTAATAATGGTTGATTATGAGCTGGTTAGGGAGAAAGTACGGGCCCGCGTTTCCAATCTCGGCTGAACCGTTGTGTGGTCCATTGTCATAACAGTGAAAGTATTGAGCCGGTTGGTTCTCGTGCCGCAGTTAATCTCATCTGCTGCTGTTAAAGAGCGTAAACAAGCAGGAGTGGTTAGTGCCTCCTGTCTGTTGAGCACACGCCAAGCAGAAAGTGCAGGGCAGACACCGAATAGTTTGAGAATAGCGATGCAAGTAGAACAGGATATTAGACTCTGCACAAGGGCCTGTCAATCATGAGGCTTACAAGGAAAGACTGGCCGGCATGGGCTAATGTATTACGGCCAGTTGTGGCACCTCGAGTCTCTTACTTCCCTTTACTTCCCTCGCTCAATCTTGTTCCCCTATCTAAATGGGATTGAACCGCGGGGGTGTCTGACCAGTTCAGCCCATTTCAACAATGATGGGCTTCAAAGTCCACAGAATCCATCCCCTCATGTGATTTGCGAGGCACCTGGAACGCAATTAAAAAGGAGGGACCAAAATACCTATAGTGATAGAACCAAATGAGAGTCAGCAGGGGACAGCGTTGTTGAGCATGTTAACCGTTTAGTCAGGGTAGCTTTGAAGGCACAGCTTCATTAAAGTGTTAATAGAAAGTAGATGGGTATGCTTACACCTGCTACTTCCCCTACCTTCTGAAGACGAACCTCAATGTCCAACAGTGCGCCAAAGAAAAGCCTTGAGGATAAATACTGGCACTCTATTCTTTAAAACTATTGTTATACATTACCCATAGGCCCCTTTTCATTGTGTGGCTTTGATGTGATAATTTCATTAAAATAATCAACATACTCGAGCAGTGTGCGCCTTTCAGATAAACCGAACGCACGTGACACCCGATACGTGCCGAATCACGATGTGCGTCTCTCATTTCGAAACAGAGACAGCAGAGCTTGCGCTCCATGTATTGACTGAACTATTGCTCCTCCGGGAACTCATGTCAGCTACTAGAGTTATTATATGCGAGGAACAAGTTAGTTGTTTCCCCGCACCATCTGAACGCCGTGTTATTTTCACTGATGGATTATGATTTTATGTTGGCAAGGATTTCTGTCAGCAGGATATTCCTCAAACTCAATTGGGCCCCGTGAGAAGTGGAGGGGAATGTGATTTTAGAATTACATCTAATAACGCACACACTGATCCTTGAGGACTAAGACACAGTAGAACAATAACAGAGATTTGTAAAACGTCGATAACTCTGGTTGTACCAAGAGTGAGGCCTTGTCTTATGAGCAGATGAATGCGTCTCTTCTGTAATAAACAAACCGCTGTTTCGCTAGAACTAATCAAATTCACAAATAAATGCTGATGCCACTTTGGAACAAATTAAGAAGCTTTTTTGATTGAACCCATTGATAAAATGTGCATTTGCAATGATGAGAACGCCATCGCGGCGCGATCTCAGCATCCCGTCCAGTCTACTCGCCTCCTGCGCTCAGTTATATCCAATTATCTTTGTATTCGACGCTAAGAATATAATGGAAAATATGTTTATGCTCAGCTAATTGCTCGGTGAAACCTATCCAATGGCGAACTATCGTCTTTCTCCTCAGCAGCACTGAAAGTCTGTGTTGACTTTGCAGAAAAGTTTTGAGGGTGGACAAAGGGTAGGGCTACTACAGAGAAGGTGGACCCCACAGAGCTGAGTGCAGTGGCCCGAATATGCACCAGCCTGTGGGAGAGTCAGAGATTTCTACAGGTCTCTGGGCTCCGTGTGGAATGCAGTTGGCTGTTATCTGTTATGATTAGCCAGTGATGCGAGAGAAGGCAGCGTCTGCTTCAGTCTCAGTTGGAGACTTTGGACTCACACCATCTTCTTCCTCAGATACAGTCTGTGTGTTTGAGGGTGTGCATCATTAGACAGTCACTAAAGAGGCCATTTTCCTCTCTTTATTGTGTTTTACCCATGCTCCACTGGACACAGGGCCATGGGAGATAGGAGGCCAAAAGAGGGGAGGTGGTGGCTGGACAGAATTCTAAGGACTCCGTGTGTGTGTGTGTGTGTGTGTGTGTGTGTGTGTGTGTTTTTCAAATTGTCACCATTTCCCCAGTATTGTGCCTTTACTGAGACAGCCGGAAAAAAAGTGAGAGACATTGAGTGCTTGAGGAGTCACAGGTTACAGTAAAATCTATTCCATTATCACTTCGGGATGTCCACCAAGGAATGGTCCGACAATCATGGAAGTTTTACTGTAAACAAACCCACATTTTAGTCAGACCTAGTTGACCCAAGTTCTCTCTTGTAAACTTTCATCACAGGCCAACTTTCGTACATGCCATACTTGCACAATTTTCCCATGAATTGAGAGATTACTACCAACATTCCAGGTATTTTTGTTTACTTTACCTCTGAACAAAGTCATTTAGATAATCCTGCTAGACTGCTTCCTCGTTTACAACCTGCCTGATCGATTACTTTTGCAAGTACAAAGTTATTCTCAACAATAAAAATGATATCTAATACTATGGAAATGTTAAATTCTAATAAACTGGAATTGTATTTTTAAAAGAAAAAGTTGACATTTTGGTAGAGTTGGCTGCCAAAGAGAGCCAGAGAGAAGATTTATACCACTCTCATGGCTGTATGCTAAATATGCAACTACAGCCAGCAGCCGGCTAACTTAGGTTAGCACAAAGACTAGTAACAGGGGGAGAAAGGTAACCTGGCTTGTCCAAAGGTTAGAAAATCTGCCAACCAGCACCTCTAGAGTTCCCTAGATAACACACTGTATCTTATTTGGTAAAACCATACAAAAACAAACATGTAAAAACGACATTTCGTCATTTTACGAGGTGTAGTGTCCCAAACTATTTCTTGGAAATGGACCATTTGCCAGGCAACAAGCGCAGAATGAGCGGCTGATAAGAAGTCTGGTATATAACCCTAGGCAAAACAGCATTCGTGTATTAAAAAAGCAAATAAGCACATTTCCGAAAATGAAGAACTGTTCCTTTAATCACACACTCTCGACTCCACGCATGTGTAATGTGTAAAGCATAACGGCGTATTTACCCAGATCCATGCTCTTGGACTTGCGTGTCTTCATGATCTCCAGCGCGGCGGGATCTTCATATTGTTTGGTGCGTTTTTCAGACATGCTCTGGCGGCCGAAGCCCTCCCGCTGGAACGAGCCGTCAGGGTCGGCGTCTGCATCTGGACTGAGCGACCTGGAGTTCATGAGGAAGACAGGAAGTATTATGATGATGCCGTGAGACACGGCACATGCATTATTATCCAATTAAAGATATATTCTATTATTATCTACATCAATAAGCAGTTATATTTCTACAGCCTATCTTTATAATAAGACTGAGATAAAATCTACCTATTAACATTCATACACCCCCAAATCTCAGCCCAAAACGCACCTTCACCATCACACAATGACCATCAACATTCAATACTCTCACTCACACACATTCACCGTCACTTTCAATCCTTCATTTCAATGACTTTTCTAATCAAGGACACCTCGGCTGGGTGGGATCAGGACGTGTTACAATTGGGTAGAAGAGGCCTGGCTAAGATGTGTGATACCCCAGTGAGGTGAGGGTGCTCTGGGGTCATGGCCACTCAATAACCCCCCCCATCCTCCTATATGTCTGGAGCAGAGGCCCACCATAGTGTGCTCCCTTTGAGATCCTCTATCTCTGTCTGGATCTTAATTGAAAAACCGGAGGGGGGGAGTGTGGAAAGGAGGTGGGGAGTGTGGGGGGGGGGGGGGGCACAGTTTTTGCATGCAGAAGAGTGCGTTTACAATTAAGGTGAGAACATCTTGCCATTTGACGGGAGGCAGAGGGGAAGAGATGCAGTGCTGATGGAGTCTAACAAACGTTATATGCATGAGAGGACACTGCCACTGTTTCCTTTGTCCTGTTGATGATCAAACATTATAACCATTAAACGGTGTTTGTATTTTTACCTGTAGAAAAGGATGACATGTCTGCAGTTTTACATTAGAAATGTCATCAAATATAAATGATCTCTCCTGTGATTGCGAACGAGTTGGAAGTTAAAAAGTGGAGTAGTCGGAATGAATATGATTTTTTGACATTGTATCCTCTTGGAGCAGATGCGCCTTCAAGAACCCTTCATCATTTGTAATCTCACGTAACAGTGACTGCAGACCTGCTGGCACCAGTTTGCATGTAAACAATTCTTATTTGGGTTGTCAACCCCATTTAACAAAAGAGCTGCTTCATGTGTCACCAAGGAGCCGGCGTCAACGTGTCACTTTGCTGTCGACCGTACCTGACAATTCCCACTAAGATCAGAGACGCCTCACAGGACCAACTCTGGCTGACACAGGAAGAGCGGTAGGTGGAGCAGGAAGAGAGGAATGACAGCACAGATGTATTATTCATTTATTCATCATCCCTCGCTATTCTCCTCTCATCACTCCAAGCCCACAAAAAAAAAAAACAGCCTGCCCTCTTTTTTCCCCACAAATGTCATCTGTCGGAAGCGTGACTGAGATGGTGTGGGAGAGAAAGGACGTATTTTCAGCCCGAGTTTAGATTTCATTCACTCTTGCCAGTATTGGGGGGCAACTGAACACCCATAGAACATAGACAAGAGAGTGAAAGGACAGCAGATGGGATCATATACAGCGTCCTGTCGCGCAGGTACAGAGAGTTGGCGAGTAAGTTGCCGTTTGGGAGAGCAATTGCGGACACAAGTAGTCGGGATGAATCAGAATCCAGCTCGTCAGAGCAAGAAAAAAAAAAAGCGGTGACAAATCTGTGGGCAGCAGGAGTGAAGTTCAGAGGGACGGCTCAGCGGTGGTGCAAATTCACTCAGTAGGACCTCTGTTGGGTTGAGCTGCTGCCCGTTTTAACACTGCCTCTGCTTTACTTTGGTTCCCGCAGAGCAATGACTGCCCGGGTTGGAGATCCAAGCTGAAGACACGTAGCTGATTGTGTTGCTTTGTGCGCTCTGTCAAGCAGGAGGTAACCTGCTGTCTGAACTTTCACCGAAGGTCTGCCACAGGAACTATAACTATTTGGAGGGGGCAGTGACCTTCTACACCACTGCTTCCCACCCCATTACATCCAAGCCAGTCCAACCTGCGAGGCGGCATACTCTTGTCACGGTTCGCATACGTCTTTGAATTGAATTAGATATTACACTGTTCAGTTCAAATTAAAAAGCAACACAACACAATACAAGGAAATAAGTGTGCTATTTGATGTACTAAAGGAATGGCGAGCCTAGTATTAATCTTTTAGTGTACTTAAAGCTGACACAGAAAGAGTCACAGCTACTACAGTCCATTAATAGAAATACTGCACTCAATTACAGATCTCGTATTCACTTTCTACTGGCTATTCATTTTCCCATAAGAAATGCTCGCTGTAATGAGATACTGCTTTCTAAGTCTCTTTGCTCTGATCCAAATGCTTCTTAAGATCAAACACAGTCTACTGGTGGAGAGAAAAGCCAAGTGAAAGGACCTCGAGCCTATGAAGGTGGGACCCATAAAAAGGACTTGGATCACCACTGAATTGCTCACTTTGCTCACACGCACACTCGACACAAACGAGAAATAGCTTGACCATGCGTCCGCCTCCCAGACAAGTTAAATAATCACCACGGGGTGGCACAGATTCTTCCTCGACACCATCCGTCCCCTCCACGCCTCTGGCCTATCTGGAATAGTGGGCCCAATCCATTTGGAAAACACATTTCCTCATCTCTCCTTCTTTTACGCAGTGTTTAAAAGCAATTCCCATCATTCCGAGCAGATGCTTACTCCGCCCCCACCCCCCCTTTCAACGTCCTCCCATCATCTAAAATTAACTAGCGCTGAGGATTGCTCACAGGCAAATCCACAGCTTTAACTTGCACCTCACATCAACTTGTTCCTGTCTCCGTCTCTCTCGCAGGAAGTTAAATGTGTCACACTGCACATCGCCCTTGTTGCTAAGTGGTGTGTGCTAAAAGCCGTCTGTGCTCACAAATTACCCTGGTGACTTATGTCTTTTTTTTTTTTTTTGAATACTTATTTTTCCCCAACTCCCAACCCTTCTTACCATCATTTAAAAAACAACCCTAAAGAGGTAAGTCTCACAGCAGCGTACTTCTTTTGAAAAGCTTGGGGGGGGGGTTGCGCATGCTAGTTTCAGCACCTCAGGAGGGGGGAAAGAGGAGGAGAACAATGCCCGGTAAGGTGCTTCCGAAATGGTACTTCTGAGGTTTGGAGGAGGCCAATTCAGCTGACTGCATGGATGCGTAGCTGGGCGACAGAGCTCGGAGCTGCCTTCAATCACTGCATACAGCCCCGCAGTGCAGAGGTCTGTCCTGCTGGCATGTGCACCAGCAGCCACTAGATAGTTGAAAATATTTATTATGTTGCAGAAGGGAAAAGATGAGCTCTGCTCAATCCATCTTTGTCACAATTTTCTTTCACTGTAAAAAGTATGTCTCAGACGACTCACTTAATTGCGCCGATAAACCATTTGACTTAAACCAGGGCATGAAGGCCGTAAAATGAAAACGACTCCATCAGTGCCACACAGAGGAGCAGCCGCACTCGTGATTTGCTGTAATCTCCTTTTTAGTTGTGATGAAGTTGCAGAGAGAGAGACAGAGAGGGGGAGAACGAGATCAATTAAGACCTCTTTGTCCGTCGGCTGACTCCTGCGTAGACCTCCTCATTCATTCCGTGCCCGGTGTGCGCGGATGCTTTAATTGAGTTTCACTGCGCTGGCTTCTCCTCTGTCTGCTGAACGGGAGAGCGACTGACAAGGTCCGGGCAAAGCACATATTATGGGTTGTGTGGCAAGCAGTATGTGTGTGTGTGTGTGTGTGTGTGTGTGTGCACGCGGGTTACTTCGGCAGCACTCACGCTGGGATCCGCTGACACCACTGTCACGTCGAGGCAGCGTCGGGCAGACACACACACACACACACACACACTAACATAGATGAGCGCAGAAATAAAAGCATGTGTGACATGCTTGTAGCAATGGTGCGCCACTGACACGTGGTAAATATTCATAAAGCTAAAGAGGACCATTAGCATGTAAGGAAAAACAATGCCTGCTATGTGTGTGTGTGCGTGTGTGTACTACCGTGGTTTTGAAGTCACAACCAAATTAAACGGACGTGAGATTAGTCAAATGGTCCGTGTGTGTGTGTGTACGCACTACAGGGCTGTTAGCATTTATATGTAGTTATGCTAATAGCTTGATGGGAAAAACACATGTGCTTAATAGAACACTTGTGATTCTTAGTTACATCACTGTTGATGGAGACTATTAGGGAGTCAACTAAAGTAGGCAGTCAGGCCGCAATGTTAGTTTGGAAGTTTGTTTGTTCGTGCCTATGCGGACCTTTTCCACTTTATATGTTAATTTGTGAAATTGTTTACCAGCCAGTGTATATCCAAACACTCGTGAGACCGAGGGCGTCTGTGCGGCGGTGTGTGTCTGTGGATGCTCGCGTCTGTTTGTCCTTTTCCATCTTGGCCGGTTGACAGACTGAAAGGATGTTTCCACCTGTGACACAGTCTAGTTCTCTCTCTCTTTCTCTCCGCCTCTCTCTCGCTGTCCACTTCTCGTCCCTCTCACCTTAATGAGAATTGACACCTATCCTACACTCTTGTCGGCTACATCCGGATTGGGGTCCAAGCCATGGGGACGGTCTAGTTATATCAAAGTTGTGACAGTGCCCCTGGTGGTACATGTGGGGCAGTGACTTTTCTTTTGTAAGGAGGTTGCTTCTCTTCTACCAGCTAAACTGTTGTCCACTGAAAAATAAGTTCTGAATAGGTTTTACAGCATAGAGACCATTTTTCTAATATTTGAATCATTAGGGGTAAGGATGTGAAAATGTTTTTTTCATATTTGTGACGGAAAAGGGTCTTTGATATCAAGGAAGGGGCGTGATGACTTTGCAACAATAGTCTAGCATCTTTGAAAGGTTAGTTGGTCTTTTTTTTTTCACCCAATTTGTTGTGGCATTTCCCCTTTTTATTTTTGACAGAATACAGTGTAGACATGGGGGGCGGGGGGGGGTGGGGGGGGAGTAAGAA